CCGTTGTCCTATTGGGGCCAGTATCTTGATCATCGGCAGTGCATCATGGGTCACTGAGGTGGGGTGGAGGCATCATTTCCCAACAGGGAGTGTTTCATGACTTGTGCTTCAGATAGCACCTGGCGGCCTGTTCTCCCTGGTGACTTGGTCGTCGCCAAGTACAAAACTGGGGGTAGGAGAAGAGGAAGACCTGGAGCCAGGCCCACCTGTGAGCTCTCTGGATGCCAGTAGTACAGTTCTCCGAAAGCTCAGCTGATACTTGGCAGAGGCAAGTTCAAGGTGGCCTTTTCATGCTCTGAGTTTAGCTGAGCATGTCTGACTCGTATTCTTTTCTCTCTGCAGGGTTTGATCCCGTGGATCAATTCCGAGAAGCATTATGAGCGGGAAAGGGCCCTGTGGATGGCCTATCAGATATTTCATTATGTGGCACAGAAAGAAAGTTTCCAATTGAGTGTCAGTCCTAGTGGGCCCAGGACCCCTGTGGTCACTGTCATCCCTCCCTTGATCTCATGTCTCCCATCTTTCCTTGCTCTGTCACTCACCTCCTTCCTCTGTCTTCCTGAACCTATGCTCATCTTCCCTTTGTTCACCTCATCTCCTCTCTGCTCTGCCTTCTGCTATCCTGCTTGGCCTCTTTCTCATGGATGGATTTGAGTGCATTCCACTGGTTTTCATTGTATCACATGGATCTTAACTGGTGGTTACTGAGCATTCACTTTGCTCCTCATAGTGGTCCCTAGGTGACCAAGATGACCCCATCTTCAGGGATCCTGCAGACTTCAGAGGAGACAGTCTTCCATAGCATAACCTTCAGTAGAAAGTGATGATGACAACTCAAACAAAGGAGGCTGAAATGAAAAATTGTTCTGAGGGGGGAGGGACTGGGGAATGCATGCCTGACCGAGAGGAGGGTTTGAGCTAGCCCGAAAGAATCGGTGACTGTCAAGAAGCCAAAATGAGACTAGCTTTAGGAAAAGCCAAAGCTATGACTCTGTCTATCCCCAGAAAGCCTATGTCTCTATCACGTGCGTCCCTTCTGCCAGGTGGTTGTCTTGTGATCACTCAGTTGAAGAGAGTGGCTGGGACACCTTGTGACTCTCACCACTGCCCTACAGACTGAAATCAAGTTCACCAAACTGGAACTCCTGGTAAAGTTGCTGGCTCTGCGCTGCTACGATGACATAGACAACATCAGCCTCATTTCTGTGTGTGCTCTGTACCACCTGCATGGCATCCTTCAGCAGCAAAAGGGTATGGAGCCCTTCTCTTCCCACTCTCCTTGGGTTCCCTCTCACAGTGGCCCCATATCGTGTCCATGCCCCCTACAAACACACACACACACACACACACAGACACATGCGCACGCACGCATGCACACAGAGTTTCCCAGGAGGTGAGTGGTAAGAAGGCACTTGAGCACCTCGTGTTCTTTGAGGACCTTGCTTCCCAAATATCTGGAACTAGCTTCTTGGGAAAGGAACGGTCCCAGAGACAGTTGTCTAGAATTTGTTTTTCCCCCTCTGCTGAGCCCCGTCTCTTCCTTGATGCGGTCTCTGTCCATATCATGCAGTATCCATGTGCTTCTGACACGAGCTCTTGCCTCTCTTGCTCTTAACATCCAGTGACTCTTTCCAGTGCCTGGAGACATACCTCTCCCCAAGCTGACAAATCATGAAGTGACTTGGGAAAGGCTAGGGTCCGTGACAGCTTCTGGAAATGAACAGGAGACTTAGAAACCATCTGAAGGGTGGGGCCGGGGTCTTTGTTTCAGAGATGAGAAGAAAGAAAATGGGGTCAGGGAAGGAAGGTCGAAGGGCTGTGACCTGTAGCGTTGCCTCATTCTATAATAAGTCATCATCTACTCTTGGCAGAAACAGCGCAGCAAATGTTGCCAAGGTGAGGGGAACTGAACGGGAAACAGAGCGGGGAGCCGAGGCCTGTATGGACAGCCAGTCCTAGGCTCGCCTGCTGATTGATTGTAGGATGCAGTTTAGGGATCAATCCTCCTCCCCATTGCATTCCTCAGACTGAACGAGTGGAGGACATTGTCCTGGCCTGAGCTGCCACAATCTTCCCCTTGAGTTTCATGATCTTTCTCCTCACTCATTCCCCACTTGCCCCAAAACTACGACTTCACTTGAATGATGATTTGGGAAGAGAGCACACTCCCAAGTCAGACCTCAAGCAGACGTCACTGGGGACCTTGACTCCAGCGCTAGCTCCACACTGCCGGTGACTTCTGCAGCCTGTGTGTGACCTCTGCACCCACATTTTCTCTGGGGTCAATGTTTTCTCCTTGCCACTCCTGTGGTTCTGTCCCCAGGGGGAGGGTTCTCTAGGGACCTCGTATGGGCCTAAGACAAGTGTCCATCATGCTCCCAAGCCATCTCCTTCCAGAAAGTCTGGAAGGAGAGCTAGGAACCAGCGCCCAGACTAGCTCAGGTAGGGGCATCCAGAAGCACCAGCCTGATTCTGCCCTGTTTCAGGCCTTTGCAGCTTTGCTCAGCCAGACCCAGCTCACCAACCTGGTGCTAGAGGCTCTGAAGTCCGTGACGGATGTCCATGCCACGGTGTCGCTTTCTTCATCCCAGCTGATAACTGGCATCCTGAACGAGAGGGGCGGAGACGTGTACCAGGTAGTGGACGTCCCTGTCCAGAACTGGGCCTGCGAGCCTGGAGCCTGTTGTGCTCTTCTGGCTCTGTCACGAACCAGTTCCCGGAACGTGGCAGTTTCTGACCCTCGCTGTGCTTCAATCCATTCACTGTGCAGTGGAGGCCTGGGAGAGGCTTTCTCCTTAGGCGCACTGGGCTCACACATTTGTAATCCTGACTCATCAGTGAACTCTCTTCTCTCTGGGGGCTGGTCCCTCAGTTCAACGGTGTGAGCAGCTAGAAGCCTTGGCTTCGATAGCATCTTTGTGGACGGGACACCCTTTTTCGGATTGCCAAGGACTAAGTCCTCTGTGAAGTTGCACACACAGATGACCAGCCAATGAGCCTCTGGACTCTGATCTGGTGCTCCACTGTCTTTTGGCCTGACGTCTCGAGGCGGAGAGGTTCTGCATAAAGATTCACAGCAGCCTCTTCATCGACAAAATTGGACATGGATGTGATGTTGGGCAACGCTGAGTGCCACTGTGCCCGTTCTATGTGGTCAGGGGTCTCCAGTTCCTCCTGTGTCTGTGTTCGGTAGTGCCCAAGGCCCTTTCCTCATTTATGATCGTTCCCTGGCCAGGGCACCAGAGACAGGGAAACACCGTCAAGGTTCAGTTTGGGTGAAACAGGCTTCCGAGAGGTACCTTGAGTCAAGGCTCCTGGTCCTGCCTTATCTTCTGCCAATTGTCCCCAAGGCTTCGTGAGTTATCTCAGTGTCAGCTTCGAGGAGATGCCCTGACAGGGCTTGGAAAATTGCCCTCCCTTCCCGGAGGGGCTGTGACTCCTGCGTCACTCGGGTTTGCCCTTGGCATAGATTGCATAGATTCCAGCCACCATTGGCACCAACTTCTGCAGTTCCTTCTGTGGGCTCTGCTCTCCTGCTAGTGTTACTTCAGAACCCCACCTGTGAGACGAGAGCCCCTTGTGTCTCGGGAGCCTTTGAGCAGCAGGAAGAGCGAAAGCAGTGAGGTAGAGGACCGATTCTTCGCTCCTTCCCCGCAGAAAGACCACCTGGCAAGAGGCATCCTGCATCTCCTCAGTTCCCGGCTGGAGCCCAGCACCGAGGAGTTGCTGCTCCAGGCCATGTGCTGGCTGGCAGAAAACAGCACCGCCACCATAGTGCGCCTGATGCTAAGCCTCCCTCTCCCATGGAACAGGTAGCCCTCTCCTGGCCAGGAGCACATTCTCTATCCCTGGGACTCCTGCCCACCTCAGTCCCTCCCAGCACCGCTTTCCTGTAGGAGCATTTTGTCTTCCCTACCAGTCCGCTGGCATTGCCTAACTCTCCAGCCAAGTTCTCTCTGGCCTCACTCCCTCTAGTCTGCATGAGGCCTGGAAGCTGGTCAGTGCTAGGAGCCTGGTGACCAGGGCCCATGACAGCTCTGTGCTTGGTCCTGCAGAAACGAGCTCCAATTATGGGAACATTTGGGAAGGAATCATGAGACCGCCATGGAGGTCCTCAAGCTCTTCTATAACATCTTGGAGTCCAAGAAGGAGAGCAGGGAGATGGACTTAGAGCTCATTGAGGTCAGCACGGGGATGGAGGGAGGGGACACTTACCTTGCTGGACTGGGAAGCAGAGCTGAGGGTGGAAGGGACTAAAGGACTGGGCAGCTGTGAGGGAGAAGCCCAGCCGAGGGCTGACGCTGTGCATTCCAGGAGCACTCAAATCCCTTTAGTTCGGTGGGTCCAGAACTGCCTGGAGATGACGGGCACATTCTGTGCCTGTTTCTAGACAGCAAAGTTGTCTCCCAATTCACGCGTCACACTCCTGAGTCCCAGCCATCTTCTCATTCAGGACTGGCACTCATTCCACCAGAGCGTGGATTGGGTCATGGGGGAGTGAGCTGAGGTGGGTTGCCGGGTGAAGACAAAGCTTTCCCTGAAATGACTCTGTGGAAACACGATGTTGGTTTTCTTTTCATTCTGAATGTCAGGAGAGCCCAGGAAAGCAGATGCCATGAATATGATACCTCCATGGGCTAGGGATGAAGTGTGGGAGTCCAGTCTTAGATGCTTCTGACAGTCCTGGTTTGGAATGCATTCCTCTGGGCAAAGAGAGAGATCGGGGTGGGGAATCTGTGCAGGTTCACAGGACCAATTGGTACTGCCCTGCACACCCGCTCAATTCTTCTCCCACCCTTCCGTGCTGTCTTCACCCAGGTCTCATGCACAATTCTGGCCATTTGCTCAGAGGCCGTGTGTGAGGAGGCTATTCAAAAAGTCTATCCAAGATTGTTGCCGGCCCTGCTCTCCCAGATATACTGGACAGCCGAAAAGAGTTCTCCCCAGGAGATGTGGTATTTAGGCATCGGGAAGACGGAAAAATCCAGGCCTTCGATCCACTAAGGTATGCCGAACCCGAACATCAGGGGATTGCAGTTAGTCCTCATGCTGAGCCCTTCGGGGATGCTGACCAAGTGGGCATCTGAGAATAGAGCTAAACAGGGGAGTGGAAATTGCAGCATGAGGCAGTAGAAACTCATCATCTATTTGCAAGGTCCTCATTTTTGTGTTCTTTCCTATCCTTTCCTGCCAGTTAACTTCATGGTACCTCTTGGTATTCATATTTGGGGCACATGGAGAGATTCATAAGATTGGGGTTGCCAAAATGGAAAGTTCCATCCCAAGATGGGTCTTGGAATTATCTTGGGAGTTATTAGTTTTGGCCCAGCTGGGAGGCATTGAGGAAAAATAAGTGGATGGTAGAAAAACAAAGAGTGCTTTTTTTTTTTTTTACTTTGTAAAATGTTATCAAAGCACTGTGGTCTACAAAGTTCTTCGTTATTTGAGTTTTAGACTTACAGCATGAACCTACCTGTGTTTTTTTAAAAAATTACTTTTTTCTGAAGAGTTCCATGTGAAGGGGTCAGAATCTAGTACAACTGGTTGAGCACTGGCTTTGCAAGCAGCTGACTCCGGTTCAAACTACTCCAGCACCCCAGATGATCCTGATCCCTGAGTGCAGAGCCAAGAGTAATCCCTGATGTTGGCAATCCAGATGTGGGCCTCCAAGAACAAAAGACATAGTTTCCTATTTAACAATTTTCTATCAAGTATACATATCTACTCCTGATCAAAAAACAAAAGCCAAGTTTCGTTCCTATTTGAGTTTGTCTTTTGCTCCCTTATACAAAAATCTGATGTCAGGGTGACTATTCTAAGAACAAGAATATTGAAAAGATCTTGGGTGGGCAGAGAAATAGCACTTTGCCAAGGATACAAATTGCCACATCTCTGGGTGATTTTATACTCAGCAGTGATCAGTCAACATTGAAATAACATGTTTTGAACAAAATATCCAAGCTGAACCTAAGGGGAGAAATGTAGACAAGAGAATGTTAAATATGTGACCTGTGACTTGATTCATTCACCTCCAAAGAGTCATTTACCGACATACTGGATATGGATAACGGTATTTTGGGGGAGAGACTTTCAGACCCCATTCCCACCCCCAGCTACTGGACCCATGGTTTAATACAAGGCTGAGGATTTAGTGCTGCTCAGATCCGCCAGGGACGGCACTTCCCTGGGCAAACCTGGCAGTGCTGGAAGAGCTCCAGGACCATAGCTGGTGGTGCTTAGGGGCCCTCAATGACTGATTTCAGTGATGCTTGGGGGACCATGTGGTGTTGAGCACATGCGAAACAGATGCCCTTATTGCTGTACTATTGTCCAGCCCTGTACTGGAAAGTGATTTCCGTGAGTGTGAGTTGGGACCACAGAAGCTGGTGGACTCGTGCTGAAGAAACGTTCCTGGTGGTTCTCTGGGGAACATTTGCAAAGGTTGGGATCCAACTGGATTCACCGTGTGCCAGACAAACATCATTCCCTGTACTATCTCTCTGGCCACTGCCAAAAAGTTGTATCAAAGCTATGATGTATTCAAGACTATTCGAACACTTGACCACAAGATTTATAAGTGATAAGGAAGATAAGCATTGTGTATTTTTACCTACTTCAACATTTTAGAGACTGCAACATTGGCGTAAGTCTTAGTATATAGTCCATAGTATCCAAACCACGTCTGTGCCAGTGACAGCTTTTTCATACTCACTACGCTATCGAGAAAAAAAAAGCACTCTCTTGGGGAAGAAAGATTTCTACCAACTCTAAGTGAGGTAAAATGTACTATATTGGCATGATCGATTGCCAAGAAAATTTCCTGAACAATAATTGCACAGTGCACAGAACAGAGGAACTGGCTCAAGGTATTGAAGACATTATGTGAGCATTGAGAAACGTTTCAGTTTTTGACATCGAATTGGGTGTGTCTATCAGCTTAGCTATGAAACTAAGCTTTTTCTTTAGCACACACACAATTCCTGAAAGAACAACAATTGCCAAGATTTAATTCCTTGCTGAAACTTGGAAAATCGATGCCAAAGAAATTCTGGTACCAATTCCAATACGCATGTATTGGAAGTGATTCGTTGAAAGAAATAGAAACCTCCCTTCCAAAGAGTTTGGCAGTTGCTGCTGATGGTGCTCCAGCACTGTCCTGTAGCACTGTCCTCCCGCTGTGTATCGATTTGCTCGAGCAGGCCCAGTAACGTCTCCATTGTGAGACTTGTTGTTCCTGCATTTGGCACATCGATCTCGTCACAGGTAGCTTGGCAGGCTTTGCCGTGCGGGCGAGGTACTCTCTGTAGCTTGCCGGGCTCTCCGAGAGGGGTGGAGGAATCAGACCCGGCTCCGCCAGACCGGCGGCTTGCAAGGCAAATGCCCTTCCGCTGTGCTGTCACTCCAGCCAGGAAGCACAGGAAAATACAGAGGTTTACTTGCAGATGGATTTGTTGATGATTTATTTCTGCTTTGGTGCCATACAAGTGTGTGTTCAAAGTCTGCTCCAACTCACTGTGGAAGAGGTAGCTCCTGGCCATGCTAAAAAAGTAGAAGGCAACTACTAAGAGCTCATCACTGTGACTAAAGCCAGCTAAAATACGAAAATAGTGACCCGCCGGCAGCAGTGCAACTCTGGCCATCCTTTTATCGAGATGACTTGAACGTTCTTCATTATTTTCACTCGAATTGTCCTTTATTGTCTGACATTTCTCTATGACATTATAGCACTGTAGCCCTGTCATCTTGTTGTTCATCGATTTGTTTGAGCAGGCCCAGTAACGTCTCCATGGTGAGACTTGTTGTTCCTGTGTTTGGCATATCGAATACGTCACGGGGAGCTTGCCAGGCTTTGCCGTGTGGGCGAGATACTCTTGGTAGCTTGCGGGACTCCCTGAGAGGGGCGGAGGAATTAAACTCAGGTCGGCCGTGTCAGCCATGTGCAAGGCTAAGGCCCTAACTGCTGTGCTCTGACCCTACATACCCATAATCCTACACACCCATGACCACACACACCCATGACCATTCACCCATCGGCCTGGCATCTCTAAACCTGACACCCGTAGGCAGCACCCACAGGCTTGACACTGCTAGACCTGGCACCCACAGAGCCGACATCCATAGACCCACAACCAGAAACCTGAAAGCCATGGACATGGCCTCCACAGCCCCATGCACAAGGCACCTCTTTCCCCCCAGCCATTGCGGGGCTTGGGCCTCAGAACCCTCTCACAATCGACCGAGGTCTTCTTAGTCACTCTTTGCCATGAAAACGCTAGACATAGAGTGACGATGTTGTGGGTAGCAGGTCGAAATATGGCATTAAAAACATGCAAGGTTGTCATGCAGTATGTCTTCCTGCTGGCTTGTTTCAAGAAGGAAGATTCATAGGGTGGTCCTAGGCAAGTTTGTAACAAAGAGGGCAGTAGGGTAAATCATTTTGAAAACCTCCACATTCGATGTTGAACAACGTGATACACTGTTCTAGATCCGTTTCACCTCGTCATTGTGTGGTACCTGTACGTCTGATCACCCTCTTCAGCGGTAGCTTTTAGGTAGCTGCCATCTTCCACGACTTACTACCAGAACTGTCATCTGTGGAGCGGGGTCTGGGTTCTGAAATATGTGGTTTTATTCCATGACCTGTCCTCTCTGTGTGTGGCATGAAAGATTCACTTCCTGGGCCTCACAATTGCCCTGGGAGCCACCTCCACTGTGGAGCCCTCCTCTAGCTGCAGATCTTTAAGCAGAACTGTCAGGGCCTAGGCATGGATGGGTGGGCACCTTGGTTTGTGCCTGCCAGACAAGTGCTTACAGTCACTAAGTGGTCACCTGGCCATTATCCCTGTTTGAAATACAAAGATCAAGTCCTCCTTTAGCCAACTGAAAGTAGCAGCAGATCTAGTCTCATTTGGTGGGAGTGGAGCTGCAGCTGATCCTGACCCTTTCCCTGTGCCCTGGAGAGCAGAATTTGAAAATAAGGGCACCAGAGTCTTCATGTGGTCTCTTCCCCAACTCTGGGTTTGGATGAGGATCCAGACTGAAAGGGTGTTTGGTTGGGCGGGGGGTGGGGGTGGGGGGCTGTTCCTGAGCTGTGGAGTTCTGTACCAGGAAAGTCGAATCCAGCTCCCAGCTAGGTTCTGACTTTCTGGCTCAGGAATGGCATGAGGGTAGCACTAACATGAGCTCTGTCCTTCTGTCCCTCTCTGCAGTTGTGCCATCAAATCTCTGAGGGCCCTGACAGGGGCTGCTGGATACAGATCCGTTGTGAATTATGCAAATATGGAAAATTGCTGGGAAGACCTGGCTTCCCCAGAAAGCTTTCACCTGGGGGTCATGAATCTAACCAGGTGGGACTCGCTCCCCAGTCCTCCTTTCTCCACTCTAGCCTCGACCCCCAGGTCCCAGCCTTCAAACCTCCCCTCTCTTTGCCATCTCTTTGCTCTCTGCTTACCTAATTTCCCATTGTCTTTCTTGTTCCACACTCACCGAGGAACCCTGACCCCCACCACCCCAGCCTGTCTTCACCCACACCCACCTCTACTCCACGGCAACTCTTCAATTCCTGTGTTCCTCCTTAGCGCCATCGTGAGAAACTGCCCACAACAAGTCATTCATGAAATCCTGGCCTTAGTAGTCAAGATGCTGGGGAGCCAGGATCGTGGCCAAAAGCTACTCTCTCGCGGCACCTATGCGCAGGTAAGATCTGCTCGGGAGGGTTCCACAGCTCTTCCAATTGTTTCCTCGAGCTGAAACACACTAAAAAGAACCTTCAATAAGCGGTCCCCAAAGAGGGCAGACTACAACCGAGATCCCTGAGGTAGAGGCACTTTCTTATCTTGTACTTCAGACAACTGCCTTTCCCGTGGCAGCAGAGGCTAGAAAGAGAGCACAGGGGAAGGTGTGTGCCTTGCATGTCAATTGACCCTCGTGTGGATCACACCCATGGTTAACTGAGCATCACCAGGTGCAACCGTGGACGCCCCTTTAACCCCACAGTCTGGGGCCCTGAAGGTCCCTGGGCACCATCAGTGTGGCCCATTTCATGTCTGGCACCGCAGGCCCCGAGTGGCATTGCATCCTTGC